GGGGGGGGGGGGGGGGGGGGGGTATTTTTACGGTGCTTCAAGGCGGAGTTGAGGGTCTTTTGATTCGTCTAGTTTTACGGTGTGTTGTTGGAATGGTCGGGTGTTGGATGGTGAGTTTCGTATACATGTTAGTTTTCTCTATGGTGTTAGTACTATTTGTGACAGATGTGCAGTCCGAGTACCGAACTCCCAGGGAGTACCTTTCATGGACTTTTCATGCAGCCCGAGTACCGAACTTTCTCCGCTTTACAGTGCTGTTATCCCTGTTATCACATGCTGTCTCCATTCTCGGCTAAGGTCTATGGAGCATAAGTAACTACCCATACGCAAGCTCTTGCGAACACTCGTTTACCGTAGAGAACAATCCCCTATCTCAGGAATCGGGATAAATGAGTAGACCAATTGTTTTTTTTTTTTTTTTTTAGTTGGTATGTTAACAACAATCTACAAAAAGCATTCAGTTGACTTTGGACAAGAAACCATTTATGGGTTCTTGAATACTTACAAAACTATGTTAATACTTACTATTGAGAAGTCACCGAACGGAACAAAATGATGATATGAGTACAATTATTATTACCATTTATGCACTAATGCACTACTACTGGATGAGGATGAAGACAGACAAGATATTGTGATAAAATGTTTTCAATTTCAATTCTAAACGTGCAGTCCTCTGAAGTGATAGGTGTTCTCGCAAGGAGTGATTAGGATTAGGCATGGATGAATGATTAGGACTAGTGATAAACACAGGTGTGATAACAGGTAATAACAAAACACTGCTATCAGCTGATGAGCAAATAACAAAAAACAACCGCAACTTCCGGTGTCGGCTTCGTTTCCGTTTCCGGTCGAGAGGACTTGGATCATGGCCATGAATAATCCATGACTTTAACTATCATTTCGTTTCTTTCTGCTGAATAGTATTGGTACAGCTTAGTACGGCTTGCTTTTAATCACGAAAATTTTATTTCAACTACGAAAACTGTCAAATTCGAGAGTCGCAGCGCCGAAAGCACCCACCGCCCTCACCACGCATTTCCGCTCCTCGGAGCATCGGCCATCCGCCATCGGCCATCTTGATTTGTTTATCACGACTTGTCTCAACGTGCCCACACTGCCCACGCGTTTGCTACATCGTTCATCGTATAACGTTGCCTTCTTGCCTCGTGTTCCTGCACACTTCAAAATCAACGACTCAACATCCTTAGACTTTTGTAAGTTGCAATCAGAAGTGTTCCTGACTTAAGTTTTCAGATCAGGTATGTCAAAACTGTCTCTTGCCTCATGCCTATTTTGTCTAGAACTCTCCTCATGAAATGTCGTCAGATCACTTATTGACTAGTCATCGAATACTACCTCCTAAAAAGTTGAACCCAGTACACACTTTCTCATTGGCACTGGTTGCTGCGCAGTTGACTTGATATATGTACAATGGAAGACTTCCGCTCAGTGCGGATCCTGTGCATTTTGAGATTCTCTCATGGTGTTGCCGTTGTTGCAACTCCCAGCATTGATGCCAGAACTTATGTCAAATCAATTCTCTCCGCTTGCAGGCAATATTGTTGCTGCTATCCAATAAGCAGTAAGGACTATGCAACATCCTTGAAGTTGCTGCACGTTAGTCTGGAATTTTGCTGTGTTCAGATGTCCAGAAGGGTTCCATGTATGGGCCAGTCTAAAGTGTATAATTGCCAATCTACACATGATACTAACTGTAGCCGATCTTACAGTGTGTAGTCTTTATCTGAAATAGCCTTCTCAGGTGTTGAAAAGGTGCGTTGGAGAGTCCAATGTGCCTACTTACATCACCACTTAGCTAAGAATACCAGGGCTGGAGACAAAGAGCAAAGTCTCATGAGCGATGGAGTCCAAGCCTCGGGGATGCTTGGCAGAGAGCAGCCGGCGTAGAATGGAAGGGAAGGGTCGAATAGTGCCGCACTACAGTCCGTCAGGCGGTACCTCTGTTCACGCATTTAAAATGCAGTATATCTTGAAAACAGCACATGGGATCTCTTTGGGCCTGTCAGAGCTTTTGATCAGAATGACTAGCTGAGCAACACATCAAAGTTTCATCAGATTTGACGGGGGGGATTTCCCACAAGGATGGCGCGGGGTTCTTTTTTAATTTGAACACATCCTGCCAATAGGCATCATACCTCTTTCCCCGGTCTAGATTTTGTTCCATATGACCAAATGAAGCATGAACGGCCCACTCCTCATCTGCTCTGGTCTGGTTACTATTGTCCCTGACATTGGGGAGCCTCTTGAAGAAACCTGATTATGATTTCGTCTTGTAGTCCTGAGATGCAGCTGGTTGCAAAACATTGTTAAATACAAAATCTAACCATTTTTTAATTTGAGCCACAAGTTCCGTGTACTAATTCAGAATCGCTTCGTAAAAGTGACTCATGCTCCTCTCATTGATGTTGTGACGGCCTTGCAATTCTTCGATTGAATGATGGGCTGGCGGTCCAAGATACGAACTTGTTAGTGGCAAGTGATCGCTTTCATACCTCAGATTAATATCTGGAAATTTTGTTTCCTGCTGTAATTAAATTTTGAGAAATTTTTGCAAATGTGTTTCGTCAACAAGTTAAGCTCTCCTCTGAGGCGATGTAACATTGAATGGTTAGATTGAAACAGGATGTTTAAGTTTATTTATTTATTTTATTTTTACACAACAAAATTACACTGAAAATCATATTTAAACTGGCAAATGTACAAAATGAATAGAATAGGACCCAGGATGGAACCCTGAGGTACTCCTGCTAAGTCATTGAGAAGTTCAAGGACGTACGACATAAATTCCAAATAAGGCATTGTAGGAGGGTATTTCAATGTTGATAGGATCTGTTCATTTGTATATATGATGGATCACTCTTACATTCTTCAGTGACAAATCCAACTTAAGCTGGATATTGCTCTATTACCCTATCGCGAGCAGCTTAAAGGCTTAGCCACCAAGTTTGCCCAGGAGATAACATCATGTGGATGTCAATGCTAGAAAAACTTGGAAAGGTCGGAATTTGTCAATCCGTAAGGTACTTCTGTGGAAATGTCCTCCTAAATTTCTGAATTTTCGTCGAAATTAAAGCACAGATTATTTCTAGTCAAAGTCAAAACACACAGCTGCATAGTAGTCACATATAGTTCACATAAGTAATCAGGAAATAACTTAAAACATAAAATTAAAGGGTGTCATTAAAATATTCGTTGAGGCTACAATATGCCTTGGTTCTAAGTGCAATTTTTACGGCATTCATAAATACTGAAGGATTTACTATTGTTTTTAGATGATATGGCAAGTGATTAAAATTTTTTGTACACATCATTTTTGGGCTTCCGTTATTACCCCCTTTGATGCAGATGTTATTACAATTTCTATTTTTATACCCTGCTATATCTCTGTTAAAAGTGAAAAGAGTCCTGTTATTGTTGACATACTTAAGAGATTCAGAAATTATACCCAACACTTGATCAGGTTATACGTTATGTTTTTCCTCGTCAGTTCGAGTCTAGTTAGGGCAAGCGGTAATACACTCTACCTTGAAATGTAGAGTGTCGTATGCAGTCACAGAGTTTGCGAATTAATTCTTCCGAAAAGTGCCTCCCCAAAACGTTTGTTGTCAATGCCGGCGCTTTGGTTCTCCTTAGAGAAATTTCTTGAGTCGTATCAAGAGTCTCTGATTGTTTCAGCAATAAAAGGAGCATAAACATCCAGGTGCAAGAAAGGTAAGTTCTGTACTGTAAGCATGGCACAGAGCCGTAACTCAATTTTTCGGGTCTCGAGCATTTTGCTAGTCAGCTGGCAATCCTTACTGGTATATGCTTCCTTGCCATCTTCAGTATCTGCTCGCTTCTGGTGTTCAGGTTTCTGAGAATTCAACTTTATGACGCTTTTTTGAGCGATCATGTTATCATTGCAAAGTTTACAGTGGGCTGTATCACCCCCTTTCTCTGATTTTGACAAAACTTTTTGAAGCCAGCCTTCAAAAAGTTTAAGATTTAATCGACTATTTTAAATTGTTTCAACTGCGGAGCTTTTTTTTTTTTGCCTTTTCTGGCATGTTCGGAACTATTATCTGATACCTTTTTATCGTTTGAAGGAGCTTTGGTTTCCTTATTTTGGTTCCCTGGTGGCTTCTCATTATTTTCATTCCTCTCATCAGGATGTGACACCTTACCACGGTTTGAAGGAACTTTAGTTTTCTCGTTCTGGTTTCCTGAAGGCTCTTCAACATTTTTATAGGTTGTTTCACAATCTGGCAATTTTTTCCTGTTCAAGAGTTGTTTGACTTCACCCAAAAAACAAACAAAGAAGAATTACTGCAGAGGAATGTTCGAAGAAATAGGGTCGGCCACTATCGACCTACTAACTGACGTTCCTCTTTTTTAACCTCACCTTATCATCTTAAAGTCGTTAACGTCATCCAACCTAACATAATTAACCGTCAAATTTTACTAGTTTGTTACATTACACTTGAACCATCGTTAAATACTGTATATTCCATCCTAAAAACAGTCATTAAGTCACTTTCCATCACTACATACAAACCAAAGCTACAAAGAGCATTCCAAGTATCAAACTCGTCAGGAATACCATTGATGGTTTTTCCATGCAGTCCAAGTACTGAACTGCAACCGAAGATAGGGGTCTCGCTGTGTCTATATTAGTAAGTGCATCTTGTAATGATTAAAAATTATTTTTTCAGCCCACTTTCCTTCATATTGGCACATAGAATGTTCCACTCAGGAGGTTGTAAAGAGCATTACATTAAGTGATAGTAAAAGCTGTCGCTGAATTCTTTAGTTTTCTGTGCAGGTCCCTTTCCACTCATCTTTCGAAATTTTTGAGAGAGAATCGTCTAGGAATACTGGTAACAGATCAAGAAAAGAAATCTATCAACATTTTGTGCCAATATGATAATCAGGTACCTTTCCTAGTTGAGAGCAACGAAATAGGACACATGTAATGCTGCAAAACTACGGTATCAAGTCTAGTCCGTTTGCCATCAATATGTCCTCAAATGTTTTAGAAAAACTCATGTTTTTTATGTTAAACAGTCACAGTGGTTTCAAGTTAGGTGCACGATTCTAACTTTTTAATTTTTTTCTTTCAGAACAGAAAATGGCAAAGAAAGCTAGAAACAAGAAACTCTACAAGCGGATGGTCCCTAAAATGATCAAGTTTGAAAATGAGAAGTTGAAGCAAGTTTTGGGGATGGTGCCAGTTCCAGAAGATACCAGATTTTCATTCAGGAAACACTTTCAAGAGCGTGACACCAAACCTGATGTCCAGATGACAGATCTCAGTGATATTTGTACAGGTAAGCAGGCTGGTTCTCATTTTTGCCACGTTTCCTTAATTTCCTCTTTCAGCAAACCTATGTGTGGGATCTAGAAAACCTGGAAAGTCAGAAAGATTACAGGGAAAGTCAGGAAAATTTGTTTGCCTCATTAAGGAAAATCAGCATAATTAAAAAGAAAATAATCTTAAACAAGGCTTCATTTGAAGGTCAGAGGATTCAAGAACTTGAAGTCAGAGAAAAGTAATAAAAGTAGGAGAAAATCAGGGAATCAAAAAATGAAGACATTATGAAAACCTTGGTTGGAAAATGCTAACACTTTTATTTTCCTACAGCCCTTCCCATGGGACAATTCTTATGGTTTGTCAAGTAAATTTTGACCTATCGGACTTGTCGTCTGTCCTCTCTCTCTCTTTCGCTCTCTCTGTCCCTGTCTAATCAATAAGGGACTCTTTCTGTTGCAGTAAGAAATGGACTTGAAGTTGTCAAAGAAATACGCGAGAAGAAGTTACCAAGGTTTCAACCAACTTCTACTGAGCCCTTAGAAGAAAAGACAGAGAAGAAAAAATACGATGTTAAGAAAAACCAGTTCCCTGTTTGGATGTCCACCAGGAAGCAGAAGAAAATAGTCAAGAAAAATAGGAAAATAAGGAAAATTAGAAACAACAGCTTGAAGCAGGTAGTTCAAAATAAAAAAGAATACATAAAACTGAAGAAACAAGCAAAAAGCCGCAGATCGTAAGATAAAATTAGTTATCCTTCTTTTTTTTATTATTATTATTGATTTTCTGTTTACGATATGCCCTACTTTGATATTAAATTAAAAAAAAAAGTCAATATCTGGATACTTTGACATCTAAAGAAATGACACTCTTATATTTTTCTCTTTTGTCCTAAGAAAAGAACTTGACTTGAGAGCTGGTCAGTTAAAATAAGAAGAAAATACAAACAAGATAATTAATCCTGAATTACTGATTCTAGAATATCTTGCTGACTCCCCTATTCCAATAATTTTTCATGCTCTTACTTTTTACCTTCTTGATTTTTGTCAAGTTAAAGGAACTACCTATGGTTAATGATGAGTTTAAAGTGCGTTCTATCTCATTATTAAATTAATGAAATTATTTATTTACTTTCGACAAATTTTTAACTACTTTCTGAAGTGGTTTATCAACATTTGAGTGTATTTACAGTTATTACATCCTTTTATTTATCTATTTTTTTTTCATTCCAAATTTTTTGCTTTACTGCGTTGTTGTGGGTTGCAACTTGCCGATTAATTCTTTGTCATTAAGTGCCAGAGCTTGACGTTTTGTCTTTTTTTTTTTTTTCACTCCAAAGTCATGGAATTAGCAGTTTCAGTTGCTATTGGTCAAGGCTTGCAAAAATTTGGTAAATAAGTGCCTCAGTAATGCTACCATATTTATTAGCATTACTTTGTTTCTAGTTTAACTTGTTAAAAATTTGTAAGAGGAAATTATCAATTACAAAACCATATTTTGAGAGCTACTCAATGTAACACATTTATTTACTGCAAGATATTGCTGAACCTAGATCTTTAATAGACTCATGTAATTGGTTCCTGTTTCTAATGCAGATTGTACAAGGGACTAGAGTCCGGTTGTATTGTTGAACCTCTTGCAGTGTGCATTTAATACAGTGATTTTTGTGAATTCTGCAACTCCTTACATATTTGTTTCGTTGATCTGTGAGTTTTTTATCTCGCTTGAAGTATTGGAAACGAATAATGAAAGATCCACACTGAGTTGTGTTTCTCAATATTGTTTTATTGTACGATCAACTTCAAAGCATCAGGGATGAATTAACATAAGAGGGGCAAAACATTCCAACAGGGTTGGTACTTCCATAGGCTTGTCTGGTGGATAAGACGAGAGTAAGGGCACAAATCATGCCCTTTTTTTGTTAAGTCCTGCCTCTAATCAGGACTCGAGTTTCTTCAATGTTTTCTCATATTTGTTTCCTTCCCTTAAATCTAAAAACTTCAATTTACGAAGTGTTGGGGATTGCATCTGATTTACTAAATCTTATCAGATTACATTTTCCATTTAAATCTTACCATAAATGAGCGGTTATCAATGGACCATCACACAAGGTACAAATTTAAGCATTCTGATCCATGCTTGTCAACCAGAATTTCACGTAGAGCATGATTCTAACATCTAAAATTACCACAATTAATTCTTAAGTAAGATATTAAAGTTTTTGTTTTACATTGGTTTTTGGGAGATTTGAGTAGCTGGGTCTTAAGAAACGCAATACAGAGTCAAATCGTGGCTTACAACGGACTCGGCGGGCTTCTTTAATCGAGCATTGTTCCTTTATCACCCTATATTCTTCTAAAGGTAAACAATTTGCTATAGCTGAGCCAAAGCGTTAAGTTTGAGGTTGCCATATTTTCACATCGTGGAGACTGCCACGGTAGCGCTTCGTGTGCAATTTGACTCTCGTAGACCATTGAGTTTTCACGAGTGGGAGGTTTGAATTCAAGCATCAAGAAACATTAAATATCTTAGTAAGGAGTTAATTTCAGTAATTTTTGTCGTGCAAATCGGGTTCTACATGAAATTTTGGTTAAGAAATTTGTATCAGAATGCTTGACTCCTTACCTTGTCCAGTGGTCCATTGCCTCAATTTCGAAGGACATGAGTTTGTATATATGTATTTTACTTCCAAATAAATTTCTTTATTTTTTTCCATGAATTCTAAACTTCCAAGTGCTCTTATCGACTTTCTCTTTAGGAAGGTTTCAATCTCCTTCACCGAAAGAAGAGATTCCTTTTCCTTTATTTACCATGTGTTTTCTGTGGACTTAAATGTTACCGGTCATTTTACGTTGACACTTTAATTCTGCTCCTCTATGACTGAAAATTAAATTTAATTTAATTTTACATTGTGATCAGAGCCTGTAACAGTTCGTTACTTGCCAAACAGTACTTAGAAGAGGCTAATGTGGGACATTCCTTGCCTCTGTTTTCGGTCCTATCATAGCTGCATTTGCAGAGTACAAAAGTTGACAAGATTACGTGACTTAACATACATCAATAATCAAGCATCAATTTGGGGGACCAATTAATAAATAATAACAATTAACACACAAAATCAATTTGAAAAGTAAACTTAAAAATTCAGCAACATTCTAAAAGCGGCTAACTCGGGTTTCATTAACAACTATCCAAAAAATTCTGAGTAACAGAGCTCAGCTTAAGCACTTAGGACAAACCTGCATGTCATGATGAAGCAACTGATCTTTTGATTTGATCAACCTCTTTTACACAAGCCTGATCAAAACAACGCTCAGTGACTTTTCGAGAAACACGCCTTCGTGAAAGAAAGGAAAATTCCTAAGGTGGATCTTCAACTTTGGGGCTTTCCATCCTGAGTACGAATTAACTAAATCTTTCGGTGGAATATACTGAAAGAAACCACATTTTAGACTCTAGGTCACTCTTCAATGAATGTTCTTGCCGGAGCTCACCCTTCAAATTCCTAAAATGAAGTCAGTAGTCCTGTTTCAAATTAAACATTGATACAGATACAACGAAATCGGGCAACGGTTTTTTAAATCGACTTTCTTGCAATGAGATTGAAATAAGCTGCAATTTTTCATCGCATTGTGAATGACCTACTCCTCTGGCACACGGAACTCCTTTTGTTGATAGTTTAAAATCAACATTTCATCTTGGCACCTTGTGGAGCATTACCAGCGATGCCATCAACGAAAGTAACTCACATTGCAATAAATTGCAATCAGGTACATGATAGAATTATTGCTACTGCTTCAGAGTGTCAAATATGTTGCATATCTACCAATTGAAGTAACACTTTTGAATGCAGATTTCACTGCAATGGAATTGTAATAAGTTACAATTTTTCATTGCATTGCAAACTGCCCGTCTCTTTGACACATGGAACTCCTTTTGTTGATTGTTCAAAATCGGCATTTATCAATCAAACGGTAACAAAATACTGCAATTTTATGGTTAACAATTGCATGTTAATTGCACTAAATAGCAATTTTATTTTAATATTTGCATCGCACCGTGCTCTTCTGGAAGAACTGAAGGGAGAGTCTTGTTTCATGATACTGCGTCATTGTTCGGCGAGAACTGTTGGGTTAGTCTGGCCACACGCCAGTGATCCGGTGAGCGGCTGGGTTCAAGTCGCACGACTCCAATTTGTCCTCAGCACTGGGGATCTAGTGAATGAAAGGGGGTGATGGGTAACCGGGTGGATGATAGCGGTAACTGGAGTGGGGGGGGGGGCGGAGCACATCCAGGAACCATACATAGTTCTTTGACAGAGGTCTTTGCTAAAAGGGATGGAAAAATTGTTTTTTTTTTTTTTTACCGCAATACTGCATTGAGTGTCGAGTTCGTTTCCGCCCCGTAGTATACGTGAAAGCACGGATTATGGAGAAACGCACTGCAGGGTTTTGAGTTAGCCTTCTGGTGAAAAAGTCAGGCCAAAAAATAATTTGACGTGATATTTTTCGAAGGTCCTCCATGACAGTACGCTTTTGGAAGATCTGAATTTTAATACCGCGTCGAGTGTTGAGTTTGTCTCCGCTCCGTGATGAAAGTGAAAGCACAGATTATGGAAAAACGCACTGCAGGTTTTTGGGTTAGCCTCCTGGTAATAAAGTTAGACAAAAAAGTAATTTGACGTGATTTTTTTCGGAGGTCCTCAATGAAAGTACGCTTTTTTAATGTTTTTTTTTTTTTTTTTTTTTTTTTTTTTTTTAATTAAGTTATTTTATTACGGTTATTTACAGGGAGGAACTATGGTGGACAGGCCATAGCCCGAAGGCCTTTGATACATACTAAAATGAAACCTATCTGTTTTATTTACATTATTCTTATTTGTTTCCCCCCTTGTGTTTAATTCCCTTTATAGAGGTTCTTAATTATAATGTGGGTCGTGAAGTCTCCTCTTACTTCAGATTGTACTATGTTTTCTTGATCGCCTCGGCGTCACCATTGATTGGTATGGAAAAATTGGTCGTCGAATGTCCATTTGGATACCCTCACGCAAGACTTGAAATCTATCGAGGGCACGCACTGACGGTCTTTGCTCTTCAGTACCTTGAAAACAGCCGCATCAGTGGTGACTTGGTTATTTCGAACGCAGGGAGTATTGTCAAGCAATGCTGTTGAAAGTCCCGGCGCGCCTATCGCGCTCACTCAGTTGGCATACTGGCCAGGCTGCACTCAGATGACATGGCTCCGGCGCGAAATTTCCTCTGAGCGAATATCACGACGGGAGCGGAAATGAAACGGGCAAACGTAAAATTCTGCGTTGCCTCTATGTGGACTTGTCCCCGAGCCGCGATGGTAGAAGACGAGTACTCTACTACTTTGCCATACAACTGTCTAGTCCGGGCGCCTGGCAGCTAAAAATGAGGCGACCTGGAATTTCGGGTACACAGCGACTTTTTTGGTTTACTTCATGTTTTTTGGGACACTGAATCCGAATCTGAAGTTTCCTACCGCGTATCTGGTGAGCATTTTCCGCCATTTTGAAAAAATGCCTTAAAAAGGCATTTTTTTGCGGTTTTTTTATTATAGCGGCTACGCATGAGAAAAAGTCCCGGATTTAGTTAATGTTTTGAATAGCTGACATAATTTTGAAGAAAATGGTGTATGCATATGCTAGGTTTTCTTAAAAATTAAGGAAGATACAGAATCGTGAACATCGCGCCCTTTCACGTTTTCGCGGCGCACCCGTCAACGCGCGATCCGGCTCGCCGCGGTCAG